GGTGGCAGCAGAGGTGGTTGTAGTAGTGGTTTGTAGTAGTGGTGGTTCGAGTCCTGGCTGTGACCACACTTTAGTGGCTTCCGGTAATAAATTTTGGCTGGAATGGGAAGTCAATTTGAAGTTGAGTCTAGTGGCTTCCGCTAAATCTGTGGTGGTAATACTGGTGATAGTAGTGAGTAGCAGTAGCAGCAGCAGTAAAGCTGTTGAAGTAGTAGCAGCAGGTGGCAAGTGCAGTGGCAGTAGCAGAAGGAGTGGTGGCAGCAGAGGTGGTTGTAGTAGTGGTGGTGGTGGTGGTTGTGTGATCCAAGCGCTTGGATCACACCCTCACCTTTTGATCCATACCCGATGGATCGAGGTATGGATCGTGTGTGGGTTTGGGTGTGTGATCCAAGCCTTATGTTTCTGGCCGTAGCCAAATGAGTGTGTACTTGACAGCAACTAGGATCACGAGTCTCAGATTCATGGCTCTGCAGTGGTGAGACTGGCTCATGACCCTAGCGAGCGGATCTTCCTAGACCTGGAATGCAAGACACTATGGCGCAGGTTTGTGTTTCTTTCTATACAAACGCTGCCGCTGAACCGCGCCTCTTCGGTCAAATAAATGAGCGTGTACTTGACAGCAACTCGGATCACGAGCCTCAGATTCATGGCTCTGCAGTGGTGAGACTGGCTCATGACCCTAGCGAGTGGATCTTCCTAGACCTGGAATGCAAAACACTATGGCGCAGGTTTGTATTTCTTTCCATACAAACGCCGCAGTCTTCTGATGGAGTACGATGAAGCAGTTCCATGAACTACGATGAAGCGAGGCAGTTCCATGACTGTTGAGCTGGCACTAAGACCGATGTCTTGAGCGCCGTGGCAAAGCGTGTCCGCGAGTGATTGTGCGCTGGTACGCTGGCGGTGGCTGGCTGCGCTGATTGCGCTGGTTACGCTGGTTGCGCGAATTACGCCGATTAGGCCGGTTACGCTGGTTACGCTGGCTACACTGGTTACGCTGGTTACGCTGGTTACGCTGATTGCGCCGACTACGCTGGCTACGCTGGTTACGCTGATTACGCTGGGCTGGTTACGCTGGCTACGCTGATTAGGGTGTAGACGGTGTAAACGGCGTAATCAGTGTAGACGGTGCAAATGGTGTAATTAATCAGTGTAGACGGTGTAAACGGTGTAGACGGTGTGAACGGTGTAGCGAACAATTGTGGACACTGAGCAACGTGGCAAAGCGTGTAGACGGTGTAAACGGTGTGGACGGTGTAAACCGTGCAGACGGTGTAAACGGTGTAGATGGTGTAGACAGTGTAGACGGTGTAGACACTGAAAACGGTGTAGACGGTGTAGACACTGAAAACGGTGTAGATAGTGTAAACGGTGTAGACAGGCTAAATGGTGTAGACGGTGTAAGCGGTGTAGACCGTGTAGACGGTGTAGACGGTGTAAACGGTGGAAACAGTGCAGACGGTGCAAGCGGTGTAGCGAAATTGTGGACAAAGCAACGGGAGCAACGGGAGTGCATCCCCAACATGCGGCGCGGCACGCGGTGTGCCCGCGCACCCAGCTGCGCGCCACGACCCAGGACGTAGGAACCGGCCGGAGAGTTCTCAGAGCCGCCGAGAACCACCCACGCAACCCAAAGCCGATTCCCAGAGAAAACGCCCCCTTTAGGAGCAATCCTGGGATCGTGATCGTTCAAATGAATTTCATGCACCTTGCTCTCACGCAGGACCTTTGACAGACAGCACAGGTTGCAGCTTTCTTGGGGACATGGTGAACATGGGGTTGACATGCGCCAAATTGGGCAACTCCCAAGAACGATCAATAGAGGCTACCCCTAAATATAGCCGGCCACTAGCCAGTTGTCCAAATTAATACAGTGAGTACATTGGATGTTATGGTGTCTAATGTTTTCTCTCTATTTATTGATTTCTGTTGTCTCCCATTCAGTCCTATTGGTATGGTATTATTGGCATTGGTTTCTCATTGCCAGTTGCTGGTTGTCCAAATGTTTTTGATTCCCCCAAAGCCAAACACGTCCCATGAACATCCTTCATGACATCCTTCGTTGGAAAGCTATTCACCTGTACAGCATAGGCCGCATGCCAAATTCTCAATATGTTTCTGAGCCTAACGGAGCCAGGCACGCAGCAACAGGCTTCAGTTCAAGTCCGGGTTCCAAAGCGCTCCGCCAGGTTGGGGAGAATGTTCTTGTTGGAAAGGATATGAAATCAAATTGATTGGAGTGATAGAGCTGGAGCAAAACATCCTTAGCATTGATCGTTCTTGGGAGTTGTCCAGTTTGGCACATGTCAACCCCATGTTCACCGTGTCCCCAAGAAAGCTGCAACCTGTGCTGTCTGTCAAAGGTCCGCAGGTGCATGAAATTCATGGCGCGTTCTGCAATGGACCTCTTCGTGGGAGATCCATCGCGACGTCGCACCAGCAAGGGTGGCGTGATTCTCAGACCGTTGGTCCTAGCCACGTCACATTGGAAACTGACTTCCAAACAAGGCTGGCTGACCTGACCTCGGAAGCCAATGCACTTGATAGCATTGCTTTCAAACTACCAAAGGCGAATGCTTTGGCTGGACGGGTGGTGAAGCATGCTGTGAACATCATGGAGGGTTTGTTCTCTAAACATGAACCTATGATATGGAAAATTGGCTTCACTCACAATCCCTCTTGGCGGTGGACGAATGCACTATATGGGTACCGGCATGCGGTTGATAAATGGACGAACATGATCGCGCTCTATGCTTCTCCAGAGCCCTACAGCCCTGCAATGTTGGAAGCTACGTTGATTGAAAAGTACGGCAGTTGCACTTGTGCTGCATTTGGGTTGCTCTCTCTCTCTCTCTCTCCACCAGTTGCCAGCCCAAGACCAAAAATAAATCATACTTTAAAGAGGCCTTGTGACACATATAGCGTTTGGTTTACATTTTGGTTTTCCACACTCCTGAGGTAAAGCTGGTTGCAGAAACGTGCGGGCAGGCGGCGATTCAGTGAACACAACCTTGAAAGGCGCGTATGTGACATACCTTGTCTTCAGGTCTTTCAAATTCAAACCGACGTGAGCCTGTGAGACAGCAACACGTCTCCGTTTGCAATAAAACAATTCACCGGTGTCCCGTCAACACCCAGGTGGTCACATACAGTGGCTTCTTGTATAGTTCTCTGTGCTCCTTCAGTCTCTGTAGAAGTGAGAGGTTGCAGAGCCAAAACAAAATCAGCGCCCTCTTTTGCTGTGTAAAGCTTGGAATGTGGTTCAAACATATATGCAGGGATGTGCAGGGTATGTTTTGGATTCTGGACATACGTATTTATCATTCATCTATCGAGACTGTACGGTGTAAGAATCGCATACATTTTTGTTGACTGTCAGTAATTGAGAAAAGCATTTCACATTCAGTTTCAGCGATATACTGGTGTGCCTGCCCGTGCCAAGGCCTCAACATGCAGATCGGCCATTCGCGTGGCCAAAGGCGTTGTTAGAGATGTCGGTGCGTCAGCAGGCCAAAGTGGGGGGCTAGCTGAGTTGGCAAGTTGTACTTTGGCCAACAGTGAACGAGATGTGAATGTTTTCACCAGACGCTACCAGCTTTGTTTGCCAGTGAAGTTGTCGGTAATGGGAGCGACGTGGCAAAGCTTGTCCGCGAGTGATTGCACGCTGGTACGCTGGCAGTGGCTGGCTGCGCTGATTGCGCTGGTTACGCTGGTTATGCTGGTTACACTGGTTACGCTGGTTACGCTGGTTAGGCTGGTTACACTGGTTACGCTGGTTACGCTGAATGCGCCGATGACGCCCATTACGCCGGTTACGCCGATTACGCTGGTTACGCTGTTTATGCTGATTACGCTGGTTACGCTGATTACGCCGATTACCCTGGTTACGCTGTTTACGCTGTCTACGCTGGTTACGCTGGTTACGCGGATTACGCCGATTACGCTGGTCACGCTGTTTCCGCTGGTTACGCTGATTGCGCTGGTTACGGTGGTTACGCTGACGACGTAGACGGTGTAGACGGTGTAAACGGTGTAAGCGGTGTAGGCAGTGTAGACGGTGTACGAAAAGATGGTTGCGCCAGCAATGAGATTGTGACCATGATCTCAATCTGAAATTGGGCGTCGGTCTGCCCGACAAATCATCAGTAAGCGGTACCTCCTTCTGCTCCTCCTCCTCATGATCCGACTCCTGCAGAATTCTACCCTTCTGGTGGTCAAAGTGTGAGTGTGAATGTGAGTGAGCGTGTGTGAGTGAGTGAGAGTGAGAGTGAGAGTGTGAGAGAGCGAGCATCTGGGAGCACAAAGTGCTGCGCCTGCCACGACATTTGCACTTCGAGGTTCACCAAGTGCTGTGCCTGCCACAAAATCTACACTTCAAGGTTCACCAAGTGCTGTACCTGCCAGGAAATCTGCACATGGAGGTTCACAAAGTGCTGCACCTGCCACGAAATCTGCACTTCGAGGTTCTCCAAGTGCTGTACCTGCCGCGAAATCTGCACTTCGAGGTTCACCAAGTGCTATGCCTGCCACGAAATCTAGGTTTGAGGACATCTCTATTAGGTTTGAGGCCATCTCTATTAGGTTTGAAGCCATTTGTAGTAGGTTTGAGGCCGTCTCTATTAGGTTTGAGGCCATCTCTATTAGGTTTGAGGCCATCTCT